TCGTCGACGCCCCAATGTCAATTTCATCAACCGAGCAGGAAAACACATCAACAGAAAGGCAATCCAAAGAAGTCACTATTGAGACTAGGTCGGATTCATCACCAAAGCCACGAGGGGTCGATTCATCACCAAAGCCACGAGGGGTCGATTCATCAGAACGGCAATTGAACAGAATTGGAATACCCGTGAAGCCAGACAATTTACAAGAGCCATTGAAGCTACAGTCTGAGAAAATGTCCAGTCCAGCGAAGCTAGACTCTTCACAGAAGCTTCTGGAGCCAGCTTCGGCCGAAACGAACGAGTCTACCAGCCAAGTGCAAGACGAACCCATGGAACTCGACGATGAACAAAACGAACCCATGAAGATCCATGAACAACATAGTTCTGCTTCAGCGCCAGGCGTACAGGACCCAGCAACCCCCGCACCTACGGCCGATCTGGGAAGCATTTTCGAAACAGAATTTGGAGTATCTTATGAGACTCTAGTGACAGTGAACTCCACAGGAAAGGTGCAGAGAGCAGAAGCATTCTTTCTCTTGTTCGAGTCCGAGATACTTCAGAGTGAACTTGTAATTCTCCATGCCTTTCTAAAGAAACATAACCCTGTTATATATACTTGGCAGCAGAAGGATGACTGGGAGAAATTTGCACGAGCTGTCCAAGTAGGGGTGGTTTTGGTATGTTCTGCTTCCCACCGAGGTCGAGATGCACTGGAAGACCAACATTTAAGCAGGTTCACGAGAGCTGGGTCAACTTCAACAAATTGTCTTTCTTCCAAAACCTCGTCAACAAGCCGATCAACTTCTGGAGCGTCTCTCTGGCCAAACCTCTCCAATATGCCGGTCACCACTCCCACTTCCAGCGCATTTTCCCACATGGCGGGGCTATATTGGTGACGGAAGACATAATGCTCCAGGATCCGAAAGCAACCATGGCGATACTGGCGTGGTTTGCTGACTTCGTCAAGAAGAAGTACCCGGGATATTGGAAGATCATGTTCCGGCCCGCTATCCTGGACTGGATTTTGCAACAATCAGAAAGTGCAGAGGAATCAGCACGCGGAGTGTACGTTATGACCCTTCAGACCCAACCGAGATCCTAATATCTCTAACCGAAAACTCCATCTTCAGATGGCCTACAATGTACCGTTTAGTCTTAGAGTGTTGCGGCGTTCCCGCAAATGACAACCCCGTTGCCGAGTTATCATCCGGAGCCCATGACGACTACCTCGAAAGCAACGCCATATCCCCTCCCAGCCTTCCGAATTATGGCACCCGCACTGAAGCAGATAATCCAGACATCCCCAAAGGCCTAACCCAAGACCAGCGCAATGCAGATCACCTTATTGAATTCTTTGCCGGCTGGGGCCTGATCCATCGCCACCGATACCGACGTTTGATCGTCCTTACGCAAACAACACCCCTGGACCGATGGAAAGAATGGCAACACATCGACATTAAATGCGGCTCGAGGGAGTTCATGAAAGCACTCGGAATCAGCTATAGATACTACTGGTCAAAAGTCATTGCTGCTCCTTCCTCGTCTTCAGCAGCCTCTGCTGCCTCTCTTACTTCTTCTAGACCAGGTACACCGTCTGAAACACGAGCTCCATCGGAGTCCTTCACGCCTCGAACGCCTAAGTCTCGGACTTCATCCATGTCAATGATCAGGGATATGGATGGAGCTAGCTACTATGGTCGGGTACCTGGCGGAGTACCTTCTTATCCGAATCCATACAGATGAGCTTTCGTGAAATATGACGGCAAAAAGAAAGATTGTGTGTAACGAGCGGTGGTGAACCGACTTCTTCTTCTCAAGAAATTCCCTATCAGATATTTAACTTTCCAATTTTCTTTCTTATTTATCGTTTTCTCTGTTTCCTATACCCAGTGGGCGTGAGTTCGTTGTTATGTTTGAGGACGGTGGTGTGCCACTCGTCGATTGTTAATTTGTGTAGTAACCGTTTCTTATTGTAAATGGAAAAACGGAAAGAAGACTGTCCTGATAATAATCAAACCCGGTATTTGAGCCAATACTCCAGCTAATATTCCATACAGACGATCAACAATAGAGAATGAAGCGTGTAAATACTAGACAGGCCGATAAGTACTAGCAGCAGCAGCAGCAGCAGCAATAAGTACATAGTACGCAATAGAAGGTATCAACACTGATATAAAACGCCCAAAACAACTAGCTTATAGGAATAATCCATCCGACTAGTAATAGCCGACTGAGGGTCAAAACAACAGGATCAACTGCCTGACTGCCTGCTTATGTCCCATGGTCTCTCTCTCCCGTTCCAATGTACAATGTCTTCACCAACAACATCCAATCCAAGCGAACGACACCTAAAACCCAGCCGTCTGCGTACGATACTCCCTGAAACTCGAAATCGGGGGAAGTTCATCCGCCGGCTGCGTCTTCGCTTTCTTATCTTTACTCTTCTCCGCTTTCTCTCTCCGAACCTTCTCCTCCCACTTACTTTCCTCGGCGGCGATCATGGAGTGGAAGCGTCCGCCTTGCCCGCGCGCAAGATAGATAGGTTTCTCGTTCCGCTCCGCGACAGATTCGGTGACCAGGACGAATTTGACGCTTGAACCGGGGGTTTCGAACATCGCGTCGCTGAGGATAGTTTCTAGTTCGGTGCGGAGGGCACGTGCGCCTGTGCCCATTGTGAAGGCGTTGGCGGCGATCTTGTGCAAGGCCGGAGTGGTGAAGCGGAGCTCGATGCCGGAGAGGCTGAAGAGGGTGGTGTATTGGGCTAGGAGGGAGTTGCGGGGTTCGGTGAGGATGCGCACGAGCAGAGGGGTGGTTAGGGTGGAGAGGGCGGCGGTGACGGGAACGCGGCCGACTAGTTCGGGGATGAAGCCGTAATTTTGGAGGTCGATGGGGTTGAGGAGGTCGAGGGCGTTGAAGTAGGTTGGTTCGCTGTCGGGGGAGTTGGGAGCGGTGGCCGAGGTGAAGAAGGGGAGGTGCTTTCTGTATAGGGCTTCTTCTTCGGATCCTGGAAGGATGGGAATCGGTTCGTTGTTTCCCGGTGTGTGGTCGCGAGATCGATTGTTTGTGAGGGCTGAGCCGCGGACGGGTTGACCGAAGCCGATTGATCCGCGAGATATCCGGTCCATGATTACCTTGTGTAGCCCGACGAAGGCGCCGGAGAAGATGAAGAGGATGTTGTCTGTGCGGACGTTGTAGACCTCGCCCTTCTGGGGCATGTTTCCGCCATTGGGGTTGAATGGAGAGTTCCCTAGTGGGTTGTTGGAGGGGAATGTGTTGGGGGAGTTGCCGACACGAGGTGCACTTCGTTCTTGTTTCGCTTGCACTTGTACCGTTGTGCCCTCGATGAGCTTGAGGAGGGCTTGTTGTACTCCTTCACCACTGACGTCCTTCCCGTGGCTGACCTTTGCTGCGGCAATTTTGTCCACTTCGTCCAGGACGATTATGCCGCGCTCCGCTTGTTCAACATCGTAGTTCGCAGCGGCCAGAAGCCTATGTACGCATACTTCTGCATCCTCTCCGATGTAACCTGCCTGCGTAAACGGTGTGCAGTCCGAAATGCTGAATGGGACGGATAGTATCCTCGCCAGTGTCTTTGCCATAAGTGTCTTTCCAACGCCGGATGGTCCCAGTAGAAGGATGTTGGATTTCTCCAGTTGTAACTCCGACGAATCGTCGAGTCCAGGCTGCGCTGACGTAGGCAATGTACCTGCTTCGGGGGTTGTATTGACGGTTTGTTGCTGACCTGGGAATTCGTCTGACTAGCTTAGCTTGGCTCAGGTTTTATGACAGGCAATGGAATGCGGATAACCTACCTTCGACCGGGTGATGCTCAATCGCCTCTCTGCGCGCACGTTTCGCTAGCAACTCCGCATTTTCCTCCTCGCGTCTCTGCAGCTCTTGTACCCGTTGATAGTGGTTGAAAACCGCGACACTAAGTATCTTCTTTGCACGGTCCTGGCCAACAACGAACTGGTCTAGGTACTGCTTCAACGTTCTGGGAGTCACCCGAGGGGCTCCGAAAGCCGGAGCTGACGCAAGTGGCCCTGTTGTTGGAAGATCCGGTTCATAACTACCAGTCCACGGCTGGTTTGTGAAATCTGAGCGATCGAATTGGGACCAGGTAGGGAAAGTGGCTGATGAGCTGGTGAATCCACGGCGAACAGGGCGGATAAGCGGCTTCGGCGCATGCCGATAGCGGAAGGGAGAGTTGCGGTGCGCCCTGAGGAGGCCACGGGCCTGTACAGGCAACCGTAGCATGGCCAAGCGCAGTAATCTCTGCAGGAGGAGAGTGCTAATGTGAAGATATGGGAAGGATCAAAGAAGAAGCTTATGTGTAAGGGAGAGAGGGAGAAGGAAGGCTGAGGGCAGTCGAGGACCGTCACCTCCGATGGCAGCAGATAAGATGCAATACAATCAAATCAAACTAAATCGGGCGATAGCTTTCCCCGCAGCACGTGATGCTTATCGCCGACGGTATCCGCGGATGACGTGGTTGAGATGGGCTTGTCTGACACGATCAAGTAAGGTTTGGACGCAGATGGATCCGTCAGTGGAAGAAGTCTGGAAGATGTGTTGAGCTTCGTGCTTTGTGTTTCTGAGGTTGTGAAACTCGGGGCGGATGAGGACTCGTGTTTCGTCATCTGGGAGCTTCCAAGTGCGACGAGCGGTGGCGGTCCCGATCGTCGCTCCCGTCAGTCCCAGGCACCGACTTCGCTAATGCGGATCTGTGCCATTCTAGTCCAGTAAGGCATGTGGTCTTGATTAATAACCCGAATAAGTGCTACATGTGTGAGATTCTCGATAGAATAGTATAGATCTGTTTGGCATAAATTGGGAAGACATCCTCTATACCTCCCCATATTCCATTGTTTCATTTGAAAAGACGTAAGTCTGCCAGGAAGCATTGAGCTACTAATTGTACCGAACCTTCCTCTTGACCCAATGGCCTTGATTATGCTTACATAGATTCCTGTAAGCTTCGTCCATTTGACGAATGTGTAAATGTGTCAAGGTCGTATCGTACATTTAGCTTAGGCCAACTGAACGGTTCCGTACTTTTCATGACACTGGAAGTTCGTAGTCACGGCTGCCATTCTTCCAATTGAGGCGTCTATACTGGTTCATTCGCCTGGGACGCCCTGTCAACATGGGAAAGCGATAATCCTCAGGTGACACGTACGCGGTAGCCCGGAGCGTCAACTGAGGGGGGAACCAGTGGCATTTTGACTCTGCCACAGATTATACTGGAAAGCGGGTTGTTACAGCAACCGGCTGCAACTTGTGCCAACTGCCACCCAGATTGAAAAGGAGGATTGAGCGAGTTGCGCTCGAGACAATCCATATTCCAATATTTCGACAATCTAGCTGCTTGATTTGAAGGCAGGCTGCTGCTCCATAGTTTGAGATATAAAGTTCCGCAGGGCCGCCCATCGATTGGAGACCGAGCCTTCATCTGTGTTGCTGTTGGAGTCGGTAGCGGTTGGCGCTGGTGCTTGCATGCTGGACATCTGCGCCATATTCTTCGCAAACCGATCGCGCTCCAGCCGTTCCAGCTTCTCCCGACGCTTCATAGCACCCGGTCTATGCTGCAGGGTTTTCTGCTTAATGATATTAACCTGTTTGCTAGGGTCGGCGACATCGTCGTCGGCGTCCGGAAGCGCATCGGCCAACGAGTCCAGAGCAGCAAGTTTCTTGGAGACACGCCGGCGCTTTGTAGATTTCTGAGAGTTCTTTTCTATCCGCGACACAAAGCTGCTGTGCTTGATCAAGCGCTTGTCCTTTTTCGTGGTGCGGAACTCATCGTGGAGAAAGCTGGGCTTAGACGACGGAAGAGCGCCTTTCCCACTTGCGGGCTTCTTGACGGATCGAGTAGGAGCCTGTATTGGTTAAGAAAAAGCATTGGTAAGTATACGTGCATGCATGATATCAACTAGGGGAAAGCTTACCATGATGGGGAGGGATGCGTTGTTTCTCCGTTCGGGGAACAAGACGAAAAAAGCCTTGCATGTGCTTCACGAGAACCGAATTCTTCGTTGATTCCGATGGGGTAGCGCGGACTAATCCGGAAGTGCACTAGTCCCCAACCGAAGACCCGATAGTGAGTTCTGTCTCTACTTTGGAAGAATATGTGTGGCTCACCGCCCAGGTGACTTATCTCATAGTACTGGGCCTCACCGACTTGGCCGAGTCTAATTATTGAACCATTGAACCTGAGGCAAATAAATCCCACCCCCTTCCCGGTCTAGTTCGCGGTCCCTGGTAGCCGTCTTCAGTCAAAGATCACTCGCGCTTTGTCTTGCGCCAGCCATTCGGGTTCCATCCTGTGCTACATTAAGGCTGACAATAATTCCCAACAGTGGGACCAACAATTTAGTAGCAAGGCACTAGACCTGAACAGGCCGACCGTAGTCCAAGGCCATAGAAACTGGATCGTCATATTTCCATCAGAATCTTTCCCCCTGCTCCTGGTCCAGTTTTCTTGCGGGAGGCAAAGATCCACATTCACGGGTTCCGAACCCGCCTTTTTATCTTGCACTTGCCTGGCTCAGTGGCTCACTTACATCAGGGCACCACCACACCGACGCCGGTTCGATAAGATTGCCTTCTCATTTGCGGCCTTGCATGTGGATGCTGTCTCCAGCGCGCCTTTTATCTCGCCGGACGTGCCCTTTTCCATCGAGGACTACTGTGCCTGTGACTCTACCTCGGCCCCCGACCGTCTATCACCTCCTGCCTACCCCATTGAGTCGGGAAATTTCGCCGTGTCTATCACCTTCCACAGCATATAAGCCTCGAGGGCCCGTCGCAGTCCGCTACTACTCGCATAGCCCTTTCCATTCGTCGATCATCCCCGCCATTACCGAAGCAACAATGGGCTCTCTCGGACCGTACCAGCGCAAACACAAGATCACGGTGGTGGGCTCAGGAAACTGGTATGTGCAAGATGGCTTTTCGTCATGGTGCTAGTGCCAGGAAAGAGGGGAAGGGCTGACTTGGGTCATGTCTAGGGGATGCGCCATCGCCAAAATCGTCGCCGAAAATGCCGCCAGCAACCCCGCAATTTTCGAGGAGAAGGTTGAGATGTGGGTTTTTGAGGAGAAGGTGGAAATCTCCAAATCGTCCCGGCACCATGATCCCTCTTCACCGCTGTGCCAGGGCCCACAAAACTTGACGGATGTGATTAACCAAAAGCACGAGAACATCAAATACTTGCCTGGAATTACTCTTCCCTCCAACCTGCATGCTAATCCCTCGTTGGTTGACGCAGTCAAGGATAGTACCATCCTTGTCTTCAACCTGCCCCACCAGTTTATCATCAAGACCTGTGAGCAGATCAAGGGCAAGATCCTGCCCTATGCGCGGGGTATCTCCTGCATCAAGGGTGTTGATGTGAACGAAGAAGGTATTCATCTCTTCTCGGAGACCATTGGCAAGATCCTGGGTATCTACTGCGGTGCTCTATCTGGCGCGAACATCGCGAGCGAGGTCGCACTGGAAAAATGGTCCGAGTCAAGCATCGCCTATGATCCCCCGCACATGGATTCCAAGGCGCCATCTCCCAATCGTTCCCCGTCTACTTCGACCGAGAATCTCGTTCAGTTTGAGCACAAGGATGTTTCCGGCCAACTATCGCAAGTAAAGCTGCAAGCGCTGCCGTCCGACTACCCCCCTGTGGACCACACGGTCCTGAAGTCGCTCTTCCATCGCCCGTATTTCCATATCCGTGTGGTGAGTGATGTCGCGGGCGTGTCGCTGGGAGGCGCCCTTAAGAACGTAGTTGCTCTTGCTGCCGGCTGGGTCGATGGCATGGGCTGGGGTGACAATGCCAAGGCTGCCATCATGCGGGTTGGCCTTCTCGAGATGGTCAAGTTTGGTGAAAAGTTCTTCGGGGCCACCATCAATACTCGAACTTTCACCGAGGAGAGTGCAGGTGTTGCCGATCTGATTACTAGCTGCAGCGGTGGTCGGAACTTCCGCTGCGCAAAACTAAGCATTGAGAGAAAGCAGTCGATCGAGAAAGTCGAGGAGACGGAACTCAACGGCCAGAAGCTCCAGGGTACTTTGACTGCGGTTGAGGTAAACAACTTCCTGAAGAAGCAAGGCCTTGAGGAGGAGTTTCCCTTGCTTACGGCTGTGTACCGTGAGTAACCCCGTTCTTTTGCTCTTTATTATGGTTTTTGCCTTCGATATACTGACCATAAAATAGGTGTTCTCGAGGGCAGTATGTCCGTTGAAGATATTCCTTCTTACATTGAGCGGTAAATTGGACCTGTTGATCCTCTCCTTTGGTTTATGCTCGGGTTGTTAATTTAGGGAAATCTGTTCCTTTTGTGTCTTAACAGAAAGCCGGAGTCTATCTCTTACGTTGAAACGGGGCGGGTGACCAGCAGTGGAACCAGCCAGGCAGTTTTGAGCGCCAGGTTGTGAACGGGGGCAGGATTCATGCATTACCCCCTCCTCTTGTGTTTTCCCCATCCTTGTCACTTTCCTTCCTTTCTTTCCACCAACTTGTCTATCTTTATCACCATCTATCTTTTTGGGGGAAGCGTTTGTTGGTAGGTATACTTTGTCGAGATTTTCTCATGCACATAGACCGATGACTATAGACCGCAATGACACCGGAATGTATGAATCTTCTTCATTTCTATCACATCCACGCCAGTAATGAGCTGTACAATTGCCAGATCATCAATGGCCTGACCGGGGCTATGAGGGGAGGCCAACAAGAAAAATGAGGAGGCGTGCGGAGGCCCGTGTTCTCGCCCGGGCCGTTCCAGCCCGCCTTCTTTCATGATGTCAGTGATCCCGCGGGGTTGCCCTGGACCTCCCAGGAACAGGAAACCTTGGTCGGCCTTGCTTCTCGTCCAGTTGTTCTTTTCCTCATAAATAGCCAGCGACCTCTGTGCCGTGGCTACACGGTGTCGTTTCTAGGAGGACATCCTGCCTTCATATCCATTCATCTCCGTTCCTTGGTTAGTCTGGCCGGCAATTCACCAAGAGTAGCGCCGCTAGACTCACCATTGTCACCAACTCTCGTCGAAGCTCTTTCCGAAGCTCCTCTACTTGTGACAGATAGTATCATTCGAGTTCACAATGTCCTCTCCACAGCAGGTTTATCTGCTGCCTCTGAAGGATGATGGATCGCCCGATGTTCCTGGAGGATACCTCTACCTCCCTTCTCCCACGGACCCGCCATATTTGCTTCGCTTTGTCATTGAAGGCAGCAGCTCAATCTGTAGAGAGGGTGCTTTATGGGTCAACATCCCCGAGAAGGGTGAATCTTTCAATCGGTCTGCTTTTCGGAGCTTTAGGTAAGAGAAATGAATGGTTACAAGTTTATCAACCTTTGACATTTTCCATAAATCTAGCCTATCACCGGATTTCAACAAGAACATTCAGATTGATGTCCCCATCACCTCTGCGGGTTCCTTCGCCTTCTATGTGACCTTCTCCCCGCTTCCTGAGTTCTCCGTCCTATCAACACCCACCCCAGAGCCAACGAGGACTCCAACCCACTATATCGATGTCTCACCCAAGTTGACTCTTCGCGGTCAAGATCTTCCACTCAATGCTCTTTCTATATACTCTGTGATCTCAAAGTTCATGGGACAGTATCCCAAGGACTGGGAGAAGCACCTCAACGGCATTAGCCAACGTAATTACAATATGGTTCATTTCACGCCCCTGATGAAGCGCGGAGCTTCGAACTCACCTTATAGCATCTTTGATCAGCTGCAATTTGATGACGCCGTGTTCCCCAATGGTGAAGACGATGTTGCGCGTCTTGTTTCTAAGATGGAGGATGAATATGGGCTTTTGTCGCTTACGGACGTTGTATGGAACCACACTGCCCATAACAGCAAATGGCTGGAGGAACATCCAGAAGCTGGTTACAGTGTCGAAACTGCCCCATGGCTTGAGGCAGCGCTGGAGCTGGACACTGCACTGCTGAAATTCGGCCAAGAACTCTCCACTCTTGGGCTGCCCACCGAGTTTCAAACTGTGGACGAATTGATGAAAGTCATGAATGCTATGCGGGACAAAGTCATTTCTGGAATACGACTATGGGAGTTCTATGCCATTGATGTGAAGGCCGACACACAGAGAATACTCGATCAATGGAAAACATCCAAAGACCTTAATCTAACAGACAAGAAATGGGCGCAACTCAACCTTCCAGACTACAAGAACTGGACTTTGAAACAACAAGCAACTTTCATTCGAGAACACGCTATACCCACCTCGAAGCAGGTCTTGGGGCGGTTTAGCAGAGCTGTTGATTTGCAATTTGGGGCAGCTATACTGACAGCCCTTTTTGGTCCGCACGATCCTTCGACATTTGACACTAATACATTCGAGGAGATTCTGTCCAAAATACTTGACGAGGTCAATCTTCCATTCTATGAGGAGTACGATGGAGACGTCTCGGAGATTATGAATCAAGTCTTCAACCGGATAAAATATCTAAGGATTGACGACCATGGTCCCAAGCTCGGCGCCGTCACGGCACAAAGCCCTTTAATTGAAACGTACTTCACGAGGCTACCTCTGAACGATGATACCAAGAAGCACAAGAAAGGGGCGCTGGCTCTGGTGAATAACGGTTGGATATGGAACGCTGATGCTCTGAGGGACAATGCGGGGCCCGACTCTAGGGCTTATCTGCGACGTGAAGTAATCGTCTGGGGCGATTGCGTGAAGCTGAGATATGGCAGTTGTCGTGACGACAATCCTTTCCTCTGGGATTTCATGACGGACTACACTCGTCTTATGGCCAAATATTTCTCAGGATTTCGCATTGACAATTGCCATTCGACACCATTGGTGGTTGCCGAGTACCTGCTAGATGAGGCACGCAAAGTTCGACCCAATCTGACCGTTTTCGCGGAACTATTCACTGGCTCAGAGGAAGCTGACTATATATTTGTCAAACGTCTCGGCATAAATGCGCTCATCCGTGAAGCCATGCAGGCCTGGAGTACAGGGGAACTGAGCCGTCTTGTTCACCG